AGCCGATTCACTCAATTAAGCTTAATGCTCAGTGGGGACAAATTCGTAATCTCATCACATTCGTCTCACCTATATATTGATTTTCCATTAGGGTTTTTAACCGATCGCGGGAGGAGCTACCGTCAATCTGGGCGAAGCAGAGAGCAGCGGCGATCGTCAGAGTAGGAAGAAAACTCAAAGATGGTGAAGTTTCTGAAGCCGGGAAAGGCTGTCATCATTCTCAATGGCCGATTTGCCGGTCGTAAGGCGGTTATCATTCGATCTTTTGACGACGGCACCCGTGATCGTCCTTACGGTCACTGCCTCGTCGCCGGAATCGCTAAATACCCTAGAAAGGTCATACGAAAGGATTCGGCCAAGAAGACGGCGAAGAAATCAAGGGTCAAGGCCTTCCTAAAGGTTGTTAATTACACCCACATCATGCCCACCCGATACACCCTTGATGTCGATCTGAAGGAGATTGTCACTCTTGACGCGCTCCAATCTCGGGATAAGAAGGTCACAGCCTGTAAGGAGACCAAAGCGCGTTTTGAAGAACGATTCAAGACAGGGAAGAACAGGTGGTTCTTTACGAAGCTGAGGTTCTAGGTAAAGCGAATGATTCATTGAGGCTAGGGTGCTTGCTCTTTGAGTAATCCAGCGGTACGGTTTTCGATTTTATTTTTTTTGTTTCCGTGTTATAAATCTGGTACTGGTTATCTTATAAGATTTTCAGGCTTTCTGTTCCGAGTTCTTAGTTGTTGCTGTAAGACTAATAATTAAGATCTTGTTTCTTTACAATGTGTCTTTCGTGGGAAATTGCTAGAATTTACTCCTAGGGGCTGTACTGTAACGGATTTAAGTGTCATTTGATTTAAATCTTGCAAGAAAGAAAATTGGCAACTTTTAAATTGGATTCAGTAAGTCCTGTTTACATTGGATTTCTTCATAGTTTTGACTTAAATCCCGGATTTTCTAAATCTTTTTGTTGGCAGGATTTAGTAAATCCGGATTTACAGGATTCTCTAAACCTGTTAAAGTTGAAGAATCAAAGCTCTAGATCATTCAGATTGATGTAAAAGCTTTTTTAAATGTCCTTTCATTTTAGTTTTATCAAGCTTTTATGCTTTGCTAAGAAAGGCACTTGTAAGGTAAGAATGTGTGGGATGATTTGGACCTACCTTAATTGGCTTAAGAATGAAGGTTAAAGGGTGGAAAAACATTTATAAAACCATGATCATTAGTCTCATTCTCAAATTGCTCAACTTTATAAATTTTCATCCCTAATTTGAATGATCTAGAGCAGCGGGGTAATATTTCATTAAAGGAACACGGGCCGCGAAGCCGATCCCGCGGCCGCGTTCCGTCAAAAAAAGTTTC